AAAAATGACTATTTCTTGTCTGAGAAGTTGAAATTTCTCATTTGTGGTTTGTTATTTTTGATCCCGTACATTCCAAACAAACACACAACAAGAATATTATTGGTAGTTTTTAAATGTTGTTCCATAATTTTCCATGACTCCCGCCTTCAGTCTTTGAAGAAGTGCATACCTGGATAGAGAAGAAGCTATGTCGTATTCTAAATCTAGACACATAGTCAGCACATACCTCTTCAGCTTGGAGCTCTGATTAGGCACTTCCTGACTTCCATGGTTGGAACAGACAAAATCATGGCTATGTCTTCAAGGTTTTGGGGTTAGAACAAAGGAGGAGGAGAAAAAAGGTTGGGAGAAGCAGCAGCATGAGACGAGCCACACTGAGGGAGAAAAAAGAAGTAGCACCATGTGTGCCTTGGCTGAAGAAAACGCTGGCTCCCCTGTGGGCCCTGAGTTCTCGCCTTGGACTAAGAGATTGTATTTTAAACTTAAACGGCCAGCAAAATGCCAGACGGGGCTCACCACACTTCTGTCCAGACACACAAGGTCAATGGGAGAGCTGCACAGAAAAGCAATGTTTTTAAGTCCCGCCTGGCAGCGTCAAACTTCCAGTGTTGTCAAGCAAATGTCTCTTTCTTTTTACTAAGTCTCTGTGATAATCAGGTTAGAAAATGCTCATTTTACAATGCCAAGTTTAAAAGTTTTTTTTTTAACTGTTCAAGTGAAGATGGTTATCCTCTATGCTTCCTTAACTTTACTATTTGATCTGTGGACTCAATAGATGAGTCTTGTTCCAACTTGTTCAGCATGAAATAATAGGGTAATGTTGAGGACAAAAAAATCTTGGGAATTTACACCACAACCTGCTGAGGGCTTTATTAGGATGCTCACATGAAACACTCTGTGGCAAACTACTAATTTCCTTCTTTACTGCAAGTAGTTGTGAATGCAGAAGGAATGCTGCTGGCTCCTTATAAATATTGCATTACTGAAACACAGCTCTGTGTCCACCAGGTTTTTGTGTGTTTGCATGTGTGTGTTTTGATGGACCAGTGTTCTTTGCAAGCCAGCCAAGGCAATAATCTTGGGAGCCACTCGTGTTTACTCGGCCCCTGAATAGAGGTTGTTATCAGCCCTGGTCACGTTGCATGTTCTCATTCACATGCGCTTGAAAGCTATTTCTCATAGACACGTGCAATCTGGCGCACACACGCGCGCAGACGCACACAAACGGGACTCTTTCGAACCCTTTTACACACACGCCCACGCCCTCCCCTGAGTGGTCCAGTAGAAGGGCATGCCTTTGTCAGCAGATGTCAGGGCGCAGGTGTGTGTTCTTGTGCCTCTCGCTCCAGTCGTTTCATCCTCTTCTCCAGAGGCGGCCCATTTGTCTGTGGC